GTGGATTGTACCTTCCTTTTACAATCTTTGTTGGAATACATTCGTCAGCTACAGCAAGGAAAGTGTCTCTCCATAAATTCCAGTTCTCGTTAATGTCGGACATCGATGTGGGATCGCTAAATTCAAATTCAATCGGTTCAAAAGTACGGTTCATTTTTTCAAAATCCGCACGGTTGTAATCGTAAACCGATCTTTTGAGCTTGTGGGAAGGTGTTGCTGTACTTTGAAACTCAAAGAGTATGCACTTGTGGTCGGAAAACAAATTGAAATTGGTTGGATCAATTACTTCAATGTTGTTAACGTTGTCTGGAATGTTTGTCATGATAAGATCAAGAACGTTAGATTCGCGCAGCTTTAAATTTCGCGCAAGTAATTTTCCGTGTTCGTTCTTTTTGGTTTGTTTAATAATAGAACTATTAACAATTAAAGCATTTATAATAATATTTTTTAATCAACAAATTCTTCAATATTTGTCAAAACTTAATCAAAAACCGATTAGGTGGCCTCAAAAATGGCTTAAAAATTATGTTATGTAAGCAAAATTCATGATAACAATAAAGCGTGAGTTCAAAATACCAACAAGAACTAAAAAAATTATTGTATGGTTCTGAACAATACCAATGACAACGACAACGGCAACAACAACAATAATCTTTATTAGCATTCCCATTTCCCATATATTACAGGTTCATAAATGGTATTGCCTAACATTATACTTTATAAATCAAACAAAATTTTAGCTAGAGTACAAATGGATCCTCTTTTCGTTGTGTCCAGGATGAAGATGAGTGTCTCATATTACACCACAAAGCTTTTCGCGCGGATTATATTTCGCGCAGCCTAAAATTTGCGCACCTAGCGCTGCGCGAATTCTAGTACTGCGCGAATTTTAATACAAGTAAGGTATAATACACATGTATTCGAACAAAAATTTACTTGCCTAACTGGTAATTTGTGTTCTCCTCTTATTCCTCTGTTGTTCAGTAACTATTCTCCAAGAATATGCGCTTGATGCTTGCGGTTGCTGCTGAATACTCAACATTAAGATCAAAATAGAAATATTTCAGTCCGTGGCCCTCGACCACGTAACGATTCTCGAGCTAACAACGTGCGTTAAATAATTCGTTAAAATATTCTTGTGTTTTCACAAGGTGCAAAAGAATGTATCGAATGTAGAGAGCTGCAAGTAACATCCAACAAAAACGATTCATTAAATTCAAGCAAGACCAATACCGTTAGTACCGTTGCTGAAAAGAGTGTGCAAAAGAAGTGGACTGTTTGTTCACTTTTTTGGTCAGCAGTGAAAGGTCTGCATATGATTGTTCAAAGAGGATCTGTGCCTTTTGTACATTATTGTTCACATTAGACACACAAATATCATTGTGGAAGATGGAGGTGACGTAGAGCAGACTTAAGAACTTGTTACTGGACGTCTATTCTGCGAAACTCGACTTGGGCACACCGCACACAGGAATGATTTCCATACCACGGATGACTGACACTCTATTACTGGATGCATTTCGGGAATAGTACAATTTCATATTCATTTACATAATGCATAAGATTTCAGCAATGCACATATATTAATTTGTTTAGAACTGTTAAGTGTTAACTTTGTCTCTGAAAAATACTCCCAAAACAGAGTGAGGTGTTCTGAATCGGGTTTTTTTTATTTGCTCAATATCTCAGTGGGGACGCAATTGGAGGTAGGCTCAGGTAGCCTACAGTACGTAGCTGGCGGGTTTTATAAGGGATTGGTGAATTGAGGCAAGGAAGAGAATCCCGTGCATAGGGAATCGGAATCATGTTCCTAGCCAGTGCACTTACGAGAGTCATTCACTCCCCTGACAATTCAAATGGTGGACGTTTAGGGAACGAATGCCTCTCGTAAGCGCACTGACCAGTAACATGGCGAGTGTATTTTGATGACGAATCATGGCGTGGCAGACGTTACGCTTTTTTAGCTGAGACGGCTTATGTAAGGTCTATCTATAATCTGTGCTAAAGGTCTCCATTCAGTGGTGCATGCACGACGGGGGTGGGGGTGAGACGAAGGCGTTTTGACTAACAATTAAGAGTATTTAACAGTTAAATATTTTGATATGCACATGCATGTCAAAATTTCCAGTCTCAGGTTCAATCCCGCATGTTATAGTTCAACTGTAATAAACCCTTTGCAACAGCATATTATAAGCTGGCCTAAAACACTTTGAATAGCAATAATAATATCTGCATGGAGAATATCTGCCAAGAGAAATCCTGAGATATAAACAACGCAATTCTGCAGTTCTGGTTGCCTGCTACTGGCGACGTCCTGCACTGCATAGTAATTAGTTATAACATGGTTATACTTAGACTTAGTTATATTTATTCCTAAGTTTGGCAAGGGAATCAAATTATAATATTCGAAAAATAATCGAAATATTGAAAGTAAGACAAAACAAGGTATTTATTTTATGTTCGGCACATCAAACAAGGGAGGCACAGTTTTATTAAAAGTTTTAATATATTTTAGTCAAATATTTACTGACACCTAGCTATTGGGTATATAGAGAAATACCAGATTTATTTCGAGTGTTGAACATGATATCTCACGAGTGAGCGCAGCGAACGAGTGGGATATCATGTTCAACACGAGAAATAAATCTGGTATTTCCAAGCACCCATGTATTTTTCTGTTTATTATATAAAGGACAGTCTTTAGAAAACGATAACTTTTACAGAAAAGTGAAAATTGAAAAGCGATAATTTTCACATGTGAGATTATCATAAATAATCTCACATGTGAGATTATCACTTTTATCAGTGCTCGAAATCTCTATAAGGGACGGACCATTAGATATTTGAGGGGGTGGTTGCAGAAATCCCCCCCCCAAAAAAATTCGAGCAAGGCTTTAAGGCGGTTTTCCACTAAGCGAAATTTTTCGACCGAATCGAAATTTCTCTTTGTTTCATGAGCTCTCGAGCAGAACTAATTGTAAAAAGACAAAGAGAAATTTCGTTTCGGTCGAAAAATTCCGCCTCGTGGAATCAGGCCTTTATCCTTAAAAAAAAAGCGAGAAGAAAACTTGAAAAAAAAATTCGTGCAAGCATCCATCCTATGAGAGTAAACTCCAAATTCCTGGACCCCTATTCAGTGGAACTTCTGGACATAAAATATGAAGAATAGATAGAATGCCGTGACAATCCTGATGATCACCCATTATTTCATTATGCGAAACTTCCAAATTTGTGAAGGCACAGAAGTTTTAAAAATTAAGGGGACGAAACCTGCGAATGGGCATACAGGCTGTATGGCCTGCAGAGGAGGTAGGATATATACTTCATGTCCTAGGGGTCCTAGGGCTATGCCCAACCCCACACATAGATTCATTATAGCTGCAAGACAGGAAGTACATACCAGAGGTTGTACGACAACTACTGAGTCTGAGGTCTGAGAGCGCGGATAATCTGCCTTGATTTATTGCATATTAATAATTACTACCACAGAGTAAACAGATTTGTTTATTCTGTGGTAATACAGAACCCCGGAACAGGTCTTCAGATTGCCGACCAGCTTGCCGCCACTTCGGGCTACCATCTCTCTAGCTGCCTGTACCTCATGTCAAAGATGGTGTAGATAAATGTGGATAAGTACACGCCTTAAAATTATGACCTGTCCTCAATTATTAAATCATGCAGACTTGTATTTTTGTTCAAAGGCAATCGTCTACAGTTTGTATCTCTATGTAACTGATTTATATTTGAAACTGATTAATATTTGAAACTATGCCGGAAACAGTGGCGTAGCCAAGGGGGGGGGGGCGAGAGGTGACCGCCCCCCCCCCCCAATTGCCACAAAAACCCTTCTCAAAAAGGCTAAATCCG